TAAGATGCCACTTCTCGGGGCTGCTTACCGGAATGTTATCGCCATATTATCATCACTCAATGAAATAACGGTGTTCGTCGAAAGCGAAAAGGTTTGAAGACACAATTCCTTGTCCTTCTTCCAGTGCAAATCGATGCACCAAAACGCCCTGTAGCTGCATCTCTTTAGTATCTGACTGAACTTTATCTCTTCACTTTTCCACACAAAAACGCGCTGCTGCACTTGTTACTTCGAATTCCATGAGTTTACTCGTTTTACAGACTCCTCTGGCGACATTGGAGATTGAGCTCGAGCCGTCAGTGATTGGGCTTGGTCCAAAGCATGTTGCTATCGCGATGAACAATCGCGCTTGGTTCTATGAAATCACTGAAAAAACAGGTAAGAATTGCGTCAACACTGCTTCAGCTTCCCGATTCCTCCTTATCCGCCCCCGTATGCGAATTTCGTTAGGGCGGAAATCTTATTTTTTATGAGATTCTTCAAATCGTAATGTGAACAGCATTAGGGAGGCAGTACTGGCCTGTGGATTCTCTTTTTGCGATAGTGTTTTTAAAGGTATGTTTTTTCAGGTAATTTTTAGGCGTTTTTGCATATACGCAAATTGCAGAAACGCATAGTGGGAAGAGACCGTCTGTGTGTGTGTCTGTCTATTCGCACTTTTGTCACCCACTTTCAACTCGAGAACCAGAAAAGCTAGAAGGCTGGAACTTTGGGAGTATGTACCATGCGCGACCCTACCATTTTAAATTCATCCCCCTCGGACGCCTGGGTGCCGCGTACGGGCGCTTTAAAAAAATGTGCAAGTTTTTTGGCGGGAAAGCGATCTCGGGAACCACATGAGCTAAGGGGCTGAAACTTTGTAGGGATGCTCCCTGTGCATTTACTAGCTAAAGATTTCAAATTCAGCCTCCAAGTGTGAGTGGTATTCACGTAAGGGCGTATGAAAGTTTTAAGGGGGAAATTGCTAACTCGGGTACCAGTAAAGCTAGAAAGCTGAAATTTTGGGGGAGTGTTCACTATCCAACTGCAACTCAAACGTTTCAAATTCAGCCCCAAGCTATGCAAGGTACTCAGTTAAGGACATATGAAATATTCTGTAGGAATATTACTAACTCGACAACCAGAAGAGCTAGAAGGATAAAATTTCAGACAGATTTT